AGGTTACCAGACTGACTCCTGGGAAGGCAGATCTGACATATGAAGAGAGATTGAATCGGTCAGGACTATGTTCACTGGAGTTTAAAACAATGAGGAGTGATCTCCTAGAACCCTATAAAATTCTCACAGGACTAGACAAGGTAAATGCAGGAAGGATGTTCCTGATGACCAGGGAGTACAGAACCAGGGGTCACAGTCTAAAGATAAGGGGTAGGCCATTTAGAACTGAGATGAAGAGAAATTTCTTCATCCAGAAAGTAGTGAGCATGTGGAATTAAAACAGAAGTTGCTGGAAAAGCTCAGCAGGTCTGGCAGCATCTGTGAAGAAAAAATCAGAATTAACATTTCGGGCCTGGTCACCCTTCCTCAGAACTGAGCCGGTGGATGAACCACAGAGAGTAGTTGAGGCCCCTGTATGCTTTCAGGAAAGTGTTAGATATAGTTCTTGGGGCTAAAAGGATCAAAGAGTATGGGGATAAAGCAGGAAAAGAGGACTGATGTTGGATCATCAGCCATGATAAACGGCTGAATAACCTGCTCCTGCTCCTATAATCAATGCTTCTGAGCTTAAGCGAAATAAGCTCGATACTGGTTCACGTTGAGTATTAATCCACAATACCAGAATTGGCCATGATGTTGAGCTAGATGGAAACCTAGATCACAGATGCTACCAGAAAAAGTTGCAAGAAAATGAAAAATATAAACTGGCGATTGGAAGATTCTCAGGTTGAGGTTCAATGATATTTTTGCAGAAGAAGCTTGACTTCAGAATTATTTATCTGTTTTCACATTGCTAAATGTTATTCAATTATCTTTAACTGTGAAGAATTATTTGTCCATAAGTGGGTATTAATCCCTATTGGAAATTTTGATCCGAGGCCCAGGACATGTATGTACTTAGGTCTCATTTGAAGTTTCTGGTCAGCTGAGCTTCTGGAAGGAAGTAGCAGAGAATCTGCCTGGAAGCTGACAGCCAGCCTACAACAAGGTAAAATCAGCAGGAAGGTCTGTACAACAGCAGTCACATTCTCCCTTCTCTTCAGAGGAAATAGTTCCCACCAGGGGATATTCTGAAAATGTTTCTCCAAAGACTTGTTTGGCTTCCTAACCTCTTGCTCACCTGAGCAACTATGGTGGACACCTCACTGGGATGGTTTAAAAAACCACTGTGAGACCCTGATTCTGTTTATGATGAGGTTTCTGCTTGAGTCCAGATGGAAGCTCACCTTCCAATAACACCAGCAGTGTTAAAATGGAAATGCAGTGGGAGCAAAACCGCAAATTCATCCACTCTATTTTAACTCTTCTTTTGTTCCTTTCCCAGGGATCAAATGGGCTTTGTCCGAAATGTTTTGTGGTTTTACTTCTCCTGAAGTCTGATATATTGGTGGGAGGAGACCAGATTAGCCATCTATTTGTTCTTCAATCATTATGGGGAGTTTCAGTAACTTCCTTTGTGTTTGCTATCTCATTATCCAAACAAGAGCAGTTCGGTTTCAGTTAAGATAATGCAGATACCATCAAGAAAGCTTGAATGTATAACTCGCCCTTCAAAATATGTAGAGTGTGACTGAGACTCTTTTTTGTTTGAAGTAATTACAAATAACTTGATCAGTCACTTCAAGTCTAGGTTTGCTACATGTTGCAAGCTATCAAATTTGAGTTTGATTTGTTCTACCATAACTTTCCTTCACTCCATTTAAAACACTTTTCATGGATCTAGTTCTTCATTACTTTACAAACAATATCTATAATTCGTATTTCAGAGAATTGCTAGAGACCCTTGCATATCCAGAAATGTCTGTCAGAAGTAATACTTCACACATACAATTTATAAAATTGGACCTTTTTTTTGTAAAGAAAACAAAAATCAAAATTAGGGATCTGGAAAAGCACTTAAGTTGGATGTCATTTACTCTTGAATAATTCCACAATTGAAAGTGATCCAAGTAAGTGAATTATGAGGCCAGCTCAATGGGAAAGATTGACTGACAGATCGATGGAAATGGTGGCTCTTTACAAACACCCAGCTATCCATTGCCATTGCAGCAACTATTTTTAATTGTTGCCTTTTTAATTCTGTTTTCATTGGTCATATAAAATCAGTTCAGTGATTTCCTTTAGAGAAGGAACCATAAGGACATCCTTACCTGGTCTGGCCTTTGTGAACCTCTGGTCTCACACTAATGTAGCTGACTCTTGATAGCCCTCTGAAGTTGCCTAGCATTCAGTGAAACAGTCACAGAGCAGCAAGAAGAAGTAAACAAAATGGACCACTTGACTGTGACTAGGTTTCGATTCACAGCATGGCGGAGGTACATCCAACCCAGTTGCCCTTCCTCACTAACTTCTAGGAACCAGTGCTAAAGTTGGGAAAGCTGCTCCACATCTAGAACATCAAGAAATGCCTGATGGACTGCAAACAGCAAAAGATGAGGCTCTAGAAACATCCCAGTTATGGAGTTGAAGAAGTGTCTGTCTTGCTGGGCTTTTCCATTATATGTAAACAAATATCATTCTGTTGAGGCCATGGCTTAGCAATGGTTTAATGTCATAAAAAGATACTTGCAGTAACAATGTCACATTTCATCGCAATCAATTTTTTGGGCTGTTGTTGCTAAGTAATGTCTATTCTTTTCTAGTTGCCTCATATGCCCCACATTAGTGAAAGCTTGATGAAGCGGAGCCTCAAACCCACAGACCTGCGAGACATGACTGTTGGCCAGCTGCAAGTTATAGTCAATGATCTACACTCCCAAATTGAGAGTAAGAAATACATTTTCTGTTTTTGTTTAATCTGCAGAATGTGTGCACATAACACTGATGTACAGGATGCCACAATACACGCAGTTCAAATACATGTTTGGGCATCATACTTTAGAAAGATTGTGAAGGCATTGGAGACAATGCAGAAGTGATTTACAAGAATGGTTCCAGTGACTTCCATTCCAATGATAAATTGTTGAATCTGGGGCCATTCTGTTTTGAGGTGTTCGAAACTATGTGGGGTCTGGAAATACAGAGAAATTGTTTGCATTGGAAAAAGATTTGCAAACCAGATGACACCAATATAAGGTGATTGGCAAAATGACCAGATGGGACAAGCATTTAGGATTTAAAATGCATAGCCTGAGAGTATTGTGAAGGCAGGGTCGATTGTAACTTTCCAGAGGGAATTAAATGATTGTCTAAAGAGGAAACAGTTGGAGGGGTCGAGGAAAATGTTAGGGGAATGAAACTAATGGAGTAGTTCTGACAGAATGCTGACACAGACACAGTGGGCTTAATGGTCCCATCCGTGCTGCTGTCATTCTATGATTCTTTTCCATACAAGTACCAATATTATGCAGTGTGTCTAATACTGTAACATGTAGTTATATAGCATCTTTAACACAATTAAATGTCCGGAGGCACTTTACAGGAACAGTATTAAATGAAATTTTGTGTCAGGTATCGAGGATAAATGAGGCCTGATGACCAGCTCAATGAAAAAGGCAGGCTTTAAGCTGTGCCCTAAAAGGAGAGAAGAAGAGAGGGAAGGCAGGAAATTTAAGAGGTGGCACGGTGGCTCAGTGGTTACCACTGTTGCCTCACCGCGCCAGGGACCCAGATTTGATTCGAGCCTCGGGCTCTGTAGGGTTTGTACATTCTCCTCGTGTCTGCATGGGCTTCCTCCCACAGTCAACGGATGCGTAGGTTGGGTGGATTGGCCGTGGGAAATGCAGGGTTATGGGGGAGGGGTTGGGGTCTGGGTGGGATGATCTTCAGAAGGTTGGTGGGCCGAATGGCTTGCTTCCACATTGTAGCAATTCTATAATTCTATTAAACTAAGGCCTTGGCAGTTGAAGGTATGGCAGGCTGTTAGCCCAAGCCAGTTAGAAATTTTAACTAGGAAAATGAGATTGAGTTGACAAAAAGTGAGTTCCAGGATGAGCATCATGATAGATCTGAATCAGGGTTTCAAGGCAGATACAAGAGAGTATAAGGCTGCTGTCATATCTTCAAAGGGCGAACTTATCAAAAAGGTTAATGACATATAAAACAGTTGTGTTTTTGTTTTCAGTTCTTTTAAGTTTGTTTTCCTTCAGCCTCTTAAATAGATTGGTTACTGAGGAGGTATGGTTTCTTGGGCAGCCTTCTGACACCTTACTTTGATTCTGTGAAAGATATTGGCAAGTTATTTTAACATGAGGCACATCACAACTGAACTCGAACATGAACTCAACTGAGGTCCATTTGTGCACTTTCAGCAAAGGTCAGTGGATGGCAATCATGAGTAGGAGTGTTGAGCAGTGATTTTGTCCGAACAGAGGGCACTGAAGCCAAATCTTAATTTGTTTACCAGCAGATCAGGGCACTAAGCACAGCCCAGAAAGCAAAGCTGAGCCTTTCTGTTATAGTCACTGGTGAAACTTATTTAACCATCAAAAGGAGCTAAGTCTCAAGTTTGTATAGAAATTAACAGTTCACCCCAGTGGTTTGGTTGTACTTATTGTTTATGGGCCTTCAGATTTTTTCACCTTTGGCATAAGGAATTATAAATAGGTTGAAATGCAAGACTAGTTAGGATTTATGTAGAACAAATCAGAAAATTCTGCAAGTGGTTTGACTGGTCTCAACTGTGCTTTTCCAGGTCAGCTTATGCAACTTTTTCTTCAAGCAGATGATAAGTGCAGCCTATTCCAAAATTGGAAATGCAGTCTAGGAACACCGCTACCAAGGTTACTATCTGCTTTTAACGCAACATCACAAGTATTTCTTCAGGCTCTTTTTTGACATACGTTGCTTCATAGAGCTCTCATTATCAAGTGCAATTCATTTTTATGTAATGCTTTTTAAATATTTCTACATAGGACATTCTAATGAGGATCTGCAACAACACATTTGGAGTATTGTGCACAGTTCTGGTCACCAGACTCTCGGAAGGCTGGGGAGGCTTTGGAGAAGGTGCAAGAGAGGCTTACCAGGATGTTGCCTGGATTGGTGTGTACTAGCTATAAGGAGAGGTTGGACAAACTGAGATTGTTTTCATTAGAGCATCTGAGGCTAAGGGGTGACCTGACAGAAGAATATAAAGTTGAGAGGTAAGGATAGGGTGGGTTGTCAGAGTCTTTTTCCCAAGGTGGAAATGTCAAACACTTGGCACGTGGGTTTAAGCTGAGAGGGAGAAGTTTAAAGGAGATGTGCGAGGAAAATTTTGTTATACTGGGTGGTAGGTACCTGAAATGTGCTACCAGGGGGTTGTGGTAGAAAGAGCTACAATAGCATCCTTTGAGAGGCATTTAGGTAGACACATAAGCAGACAGGGAATAGAGGGTAACAGATCATGTGCAGGCAAATGGGATTAGTTTAGAATAGCATCATGGTCAGTACAGGCATTGAAAGGCCTGTTTCTGTGCTGCACTGTTCAATGTTCTATGTAACATATGTGCACAGAATAAGGATAACATAAACACTGTTGGTAGATTTTTCCAGGGTGTGTCACACTAATGGTTTAGTTGTTAGCATTCTCGCCTCTGGGACTTGAGCAAAACAATTTCATCAGATGCTCCCTACTCCGGGAGTGATGCACTGTTGGAGGTGCTATATTTTTGATGAGAACTTTACGCTGCTATTCAGTCTCCCTTCTCTGATCGATTAATGTCACAAAGTCAAGATTTTGTGGTCATTGTCAATTGCCATCTGCAAGAGGTTGCTGTACACAAGTCAGTTGCTGTGTTTCCTGCATTATAACAGGAATTGCACTTCAAATGTACTTCATTGGGTGTGAAGTGATTTTGGTGATCCGTGAACCTGACAGACGCTATGTAAATGGAAGTTTTTGCTTTATTTTAGTGCCCAAGGGAGTAGAACCTTTGAAGGGAAAAGAGAGGGGTGCGTCAGAGATTAACACAGTTAGAAAATGAATGAGGACGAAGAGTGAGAGGACTGGTTCTGCAAAGTAGTTCATTCTTCAAGCAGAAACTGGAGGCACTGGAGGTGGAACAGAGAGATGTGTGGCAGTCAAGCCAGTGGGTACATGGGAAAATAATCATGAAAAGCACACTGTTGAAGATAATAAATCTGCCTTGTGTTCTTGTGGAGATCTAATTACAATGCTTCGCTCCATTACTATGGGTCAGATTAGGAATTTGATTTGCACATTTATTGCATGTAGTTTCCAGGAAGGTGATGGCCTAGTGGTATTATCACTCAGCCTAGAACTGGAATGAGTGAGATTGAGACCAAATGTTGAGAAAAATAAAAGTAGGATAGTAGACTGCCAGAGAGAAGAATAACACAAAGACTGAAGGTACAACAGATGCCATTTTAGAGCATGTGACTGGGAATAATTAAAGATTGCATTTGATGAGAAGTCATGATGCCATTCCAGTTTCAGATTGGGCAGGACAGGGGATGAGAGTAGAAACTGTGATGGAGAGAGAATTTGAAGTTGAGTTGAGGAGATAGGAGGGAAAGGGGGCTTGATATAGAAGTTCAGCCCTGATCTCATTGAATGGTCTTATGCCCTACTCCTGCTACCAGTTGTGTTCTCACAATAAGGTTGCACAACAGGTTAACATAAAAGTTAAGTGGCAACGTCTTAGTTTAGGAACAAACTTGTGTGGCAAGAGTGTTGTTGAGTGGAAAATAATTGACTTTGGGTGGAACAGAGAGATGTGTGGCAGTCAAGCCAGTGGGTACATGGGGAAAATAATCATGAAAAGCACACTGTTGAAGATAATAAATCTACCTTGTGTTCTTGTGGAGATCTAATTACAATGTTTCGCTCCATTACTATGGGTCAGATTAGGAATTTGATTTGCACATTTATTGCATGTAGTTTCCAGGAAGGCGATGGCCTAGTGGTATTATCACTAGACTGTTAATCCAGAGACCCAGATAATGTTCTGAGGAACCAGGTTCGAATCCTGCCACAGTAGATGGTGGAATTTAAATTCAATAACTATCTGGAATTAAGAATCTAATAATGACCGTGAGTCCATTGTCGATTGTCGGAAAAACCCATCTGGTTCACTAATGCCCTTCAGGGAAGGAAACTGCTGTCCTTACCTGGTCTGACCTACATGTGACTCCAGACCCACAGCAATGTGGTTGACTCTTAACTGCCCTCTGGGCTATTAGGGATGGGCAGTAAATGCTGCATATCCAGTGACGCCCCCATCCCATGAATGAAGAAAGAATTAAAAAAAGTTAACACGGATCAATTGGCAACATTGCAATTTTTCTGCATTATTAGAACCAGGTACATTTTTTAGTCCTTTGACTATCTCTCAGATCTTTGTTCCTTTTGAATTTTTATGGCATTTATTAGTAGTCATTACATGGCTAAAAGGAAAGAATCTGAATTGATTGAATTCCTCATGTGGTTTTTGGCCTGCAGTTCAGTAAGTTCAGTGCCAATGTTGAGCCATTGCGTACTTGTGTGTATTTTTAAATAGATTTTACCTCTTCGCAGAAAGCAGTGAACCATACTAAATCAAACCATACAAATGACATGCATTGGATATGCTTCAATTATGTGTATTGTAGTTTTATTTGGACTCTGTTATCTTCAGTAAAATGGGCCAAACAAAAAAAATTTCCAATTATTTGGGAAAGTAGACAGGTTAAGCAGTAACATCTGGAAAACAGCAGAAAAGGGATTTATTTTTAACACCAAAAACACTTTTCTTTCAATGTATATAGTATTAGTGCTGTGAGTGTCGGGGATGCAATGGTCTCGTGGTATTCTTGCTGGGCTGTTAACATTCTGAGGACCTGGG